AAATGCAATGTGTCCAGGGATCAGAGTCTTAAATATGAGTCTAAATAGTCTTAAGTGACAGAAGCTTGGGGTCTACTTTTCATGTTTTGCATCTTAAAGGATCTGAAGGCTGTGACAGTGAGGGACTGAGTGCCTCAAGAAGCATCACAGGACCAAGAACAGCCAGCAGCCCACCGAGGGCCATCACTGGATCAGCACTGATCAGGACAATTAAAACAGAAGTTGTTCTAGGATGAGCGAAAGACATAGCAGCTCTTGGAGCAGTGGAAAGAAGACAGTTCGTAAAGATTCCTGAGATGTTTCATTTGCGATCTTCCATTTGGGGTATCAAGGTGTGTGTGTTGCCTGTTCCCCTTCAGCTTTTCCTGGGCTTTTGCCAGTTCTTTACCACCCCTGGTAGCACCAAGAGCTAAGACCCGCCAAGCTCCAGAGGACCTGTAGTGCAAGGGTCAGTGTCTTAACAACTCAGATGTCCCTGAGTGAGTTATGGCTACTGGTATTCAACCAAGTCATTTGCCCCTGAGAAATGCACACAGAAAAGTTGCGTCCTAGCCAGGCATGGTAGCACACAACTGTATTCTTAGCTACTCAGGAATCCGAGGCAAGAGGATGGCAAGTTTGAGCTCAGCGATTTAGTAAGTCTGTTTTAGAAAATAAAGAGGTTATAATTCAGTGCAGAGCACTTCTGAGTTCTGTCCCCAGGATAGAGGGTGGGGAAGATTCTGCATTTGAAAGACTTCACTCAAGTGATAATCCCAGAGTCTCCTTGGCAGGTTGGTTTCCCTAATCAGTCTCCACATCCACAAAGAACCTTTAAGATCACAAGAAAAAACAGCATTCTCTTGCATTAGCCTTTCACCATGGTTCTTCAGCAAGAGAAATTGAGTCCTAAGTTGTCAGTTACTTTCTTTACTTCCTCTCTCTCTCTTTTTTCTTTTTCTTTTTGGTTTTTACTTTCCTTTTTGAGATAGGATCTCACTATGTAGTGCAGTCTGGTCTTGAACTCACTATGTAGCACAGCCTGAACTGCAACTCCTGGTGATCCTCCTGCCTCAGCCTCTCAAGTGCTGAAATCAAAGGTGTGAGCCACCATGCCCAGCTCCTCTTTCTTCTCTTCTCCTTCTCCTTCTATCCTCTCTCTCTCTCTCTCTCTCTCTCTCTCTCTCTCTCTCTCTCTCTCTCTCTCTCTCTTTTAGTCAGGGTCTGTGGAGTTCATGCTGGCCTTGAACTCACTTTGTAGCTCAGACTGGTCTCAAACTCAAGCAACCCACCTGCCTCAGCCTCTTGAGTTCTAGGATTATAGACATGTGCCACTATGCCTGCCCTTTTTTTTTTTGTCTTCTTTCTTTCTTTGTTAGAGAGGGTCTCACTGGGCAATTCAGGCTGGCCTTGAATTTAATATATAGCCCAGGCTGGCCTCAAATTTATGGCATTCCTCCTACTTCAGCCTCCAGAGTACTGGGATTATAGGTATAGGCCACCAGATCCTTCTTAAAATCTGAATATGTTTGTAATACAAAGACACGTGCCATTCTGCTCATGACCAACTCCTTCCTCGTGTCTTCCCAAAATGAATCAGACGGGAACATGTTGGGGATTGGCTTGTCCAGCTCTGGCTGCATTTTTAGCATCCTCTGGCTCTCTGATACAAGTACTGGGCTCAATATTACTAAGTAACCAACTGTACCAATGGGATCCCAGCAGGAACCAATGAGTACATTCAAAGAAAGATAACTGGAGGCGGATATAAAGGGGCTATTTACAAAGGAGACGTTAGGGACAGAACAGTTCAAATACATAGGGATGGTGAAACAGCTGTTGCCTAACTCAAGGTCACAAGAGAAGAACTGAATTTGGATAAGCAGTTCTAGAAACCCAAATCAGAGATTTGTGTACAACAGCCACCTTGAGATGGGCATGAACTTAGATGCAGTTACTTTGAGAAAACTCTGCTGAGAGAAGTAAGAGAGATAAATCCCTTAAGCTCATTTTTCTCCTTTTCTCTAATTTGCTAAATAGAATAGGAAGCCAGAGGGCAAGGGTGTTCATTCAGGTCCTACAGGGCAGGGTGGAGAATGAACTGGGGAGGCGCAAAGGGCAGTTATTTGACATATTAAATAAATTAAAAACAGGCTCTATAGATCAATGAGGATCAAAAATGTTCATTAATAGAAACTAAAGATTAGAGTTAAATCATTGGGGATGGTGGTGCACACCTATAATCCTAGCACTTTGGAGGTTGAGGCAAAATTACCACAAATTTGAGGCCAGCCTGGGCTACATAAGTGAGTTCAAGGCCAGAATGCACTACATATGAGATCCTGTCTCAACCCCCCGCCTCTCATAATCAGTTGACCACTAATAATTCATATTGTACCTCTAGGAAAACTTAAAAGTTTTTGTTCTATAACCAATTTTCAAAATCTGAATTACCACTACTGATGTTAACAAAAAAGTCTCTGACATAGATTACTTTTGATTATGAACAGTCTTCTGTCAGAATATTCTGGCATGGGGTCATTGGGGTCAGTCCCTCCCCCATCTCTGTCCACTGGGGAAGAACCACTTTGTGACTAGTTTGGAGGTAGGCAGACACCATTTGGGTTCCACCAGGGAATTCAACGAGCAGGCTGTCCAGTTTCTTTCCTCATTAGAAGTCTGAGAGGGCATTAGAGCACACCCTTTCCTCCAGGTAGGAGTGGACAAAGGTACAGAATTTTGTGGAGGAACCACAAATCAGAACTAGAGGCAAAAATACACCTCACCTATCCAACCTCATCACTGAAATAAACCTAGAAAGTAGCTTTTGATCTTACTGATGGAATAACTTAGTGAGAAAAGCCCATATCCTTCTAAAGACACTGGCACCAGCAGGATAGAGTTCTGCCCAATTTCTCAATCTGCAATCCTGCCAGATCGGTTCCTAAGAACAGGCTGACTAAACGGGTGGTCAGTCACATGGTGCAAGTCAGGGGACTTCAAAAGGTATGTTGCATCCCAAACTATTTTCCCTGCTGGCCTGGGGTTCTGTCTGATGTTTCCATCATGCAAATTATTCCTTTATGTTAAAACGTTGTTGCCAGAAGTCCTCTGTTCAAATGTTCTCACTGGGTAAGCAGTGTGGTGCTTAGTTGTTTCTCTCTTTGTTTGGCATCTCATTTCCATTACCATGTTTTGAGAATTCTGCTGTCTGCAGGAAGCAAAGCCCATCTAGATCCCTGATCCAGAGATACAAAATGTGCTGTCCCAGCTCTTCTGTGAGCTAGGCAGGGCACAGCACCTAAGGTCAACCAACCATGACTATGCAGCAGATTGTGCATTGGCTGACAACACAGTAGAATTGGGGGGATGTTTATTTCAATGGTGATGGCAGCAGTGCAGAGGGTGGTATTCAGTGTTAAAGGGTGTCTGCAGCTGTTTTCACAGTTATTGTTTTGGCATGGTTTGAGCTGTGGCCCCAATTTCAGTATAGCATCCCTTATTCCAGTTCATTTTCCAAGTCCTATCCTCAGCCTTTTAGGAGAGTCTGGAGTGCCCCAGGATCCTTTTAGTAAACTCCCATGCTGCTTAAACATTTTCTTGCAAGCAAGTAAGAACACCAGTGTATACATAGTCATCAGACATTGCAACTCAAGACTAGCCACATACAGTCATTTGTCAAAGTAACTCCTTGATAGTATAAAAAACAGCAGGATCCCAGGGAAAAGGCTTTTGTTGATAGAGGGGAAATCAGGAGAGTCTGACCTTGTGGGAAATGACTGATAGAACTTGCCTGAAGGACCAGACAGAGGTTTCAGGATATCTGAGAAACAAGGGTGCAGAGAGTCATTGATAGGAAAGGTGGGGCAATGCTAGTTTAAAGTCTAGTGCTATAGAATTACTAGAAGGGCTGCCACTGATACTGTGGCATGTGGAGGGGCGATGTCTTCATTATATTTTCCCCAGAGAGGAGCACAGGAAATTTCCACTATTCATTGAAGGAACAGGGAGAGAAAGAGTGAGGAAGCTAGTGATATTCAGCTAGATGCTGAACACTGGCTAAGAAGTTGTGATTTTTGTGAAGAGTCAAGTGGAGTTAGCAAACTTCATTCCTTTCTGCTTTCTTCTTTACCTTTCCTCAAAACAAGCACTGTTCCTGAGGTTCAGATTATTAAATGGATAAACTCTGGGTCTAATTATTCTTAGTTTTTTCATGGGAGGGTCTTGTGTATCCACCGGATATGTGCCACAGGCCCTTTCTCACTGCAGTGACAATATGGCCAACACTGAGAGCTCTCATACCATGACAGACCTTTCAGCTGTGTCTTCAAGTTTTCATCCTTGAATAGTGTCTAGGGCACTATCACCATCCCTAGACTATGTTCTTGTAGTTGTGTCTGCCCTAGGGAAGTGGGGGATTGCCACTTTTTTTTCACAGATGTTACCAAGGGAAGAACACTGCAAAATAATCCAAGGGAAACTACCAAAGGACATTACAAAAAGATTAAAAAAAAAAATTAGCTACATTTGATTTAAAATATATTTAGGATATGTTGTTTTTATTTTCATAGAATGTCTTTTAATAAATATTTTTTTTTAATTTTATTTATTTATTTGTGTGTGTGTGTGTGTGTGGCCAGCTCAGCCCACCAGGGGGCAGGGCTGGCTGGCATGTGGTGCTGGGGAATCGAACTGTGGTCCCTGTGCTTTGCTAAGCTTGTTCTAAGTAGGTGCTTTAGACCACTGAGCCATCTTACCAGCCCCATTAATAAATATTTTACCATGGTGATGAAGATGCATCATAAGAATACACAAAGGACTTGAGGGGACAAAGGGATGGAAATATTTTAGTATTTTAATTTAACCCTCAATTCAAGAGACTTGCCTTCTGAAGATCTTAAAATTTAGCAAAGGAAGTCTCCTATGCAAAGAGCAATTATTTGCTTGTTTGCTTGTGACAGGGTCTTGCTATGCAGTTCAGGCCGGCTTAAGCTCGCTATGTAGCCAAGCTGGCCTGGAACTCCCTGTAATCCTCCTGTCTCTGGCTCCTGACTATGGGTGCTTAGAGATGTGGGCCACCACACCCACCTTAAGAAGCTTCTATTCTTGGCCCACGGCCACAGTCAGTAAATGGTGGACCAGTGGCAGCGGCTCTTGATTACTTGCAGCAGAGGCTTCTTGAAGGTGAGGAAGAGAACGGTGCAGGCCACCAGCAGGGTGAGGCAGCTGGGGAGGATGAGCACGAGGTAGAGCAGGCCCATGTCCACCCGTTCCCATTTGCAACCGTGCGGTGTACCTGCAGGCAGCTCCACCACACGGATGACCCTGGAGGAGAGGTTGCAGGTGACCATGGTCCAGTCGACAACAGTGTCCAGGTGCTGCGGGGCTACCCGGCCGTCCAGTCCACAGCAGTCGTAAGGGTTCTGGCTGAGGTAGACAGCGCGCAGGCTCCCCGTGAATTGCTCCCACTCAGCCCGGGCAGGCAATGCCGTAAGCCAGTTCCGCCGCAGATCCAGGGTTCGCAGGGCCGGGCTCCCCTGGAGCTTTGGAAGGCTAGTTAGGCAATTTCCTGACAGATCCAGCTCCCTAAGGTGCTCGAAGCCCGAGAAATCCAACTTGGCGGAGGCAGGGCTGAGGCCCACGTTCCTCAGAGACAGGGCCTGTAATGTGGGGGCAATGGCCCTGAGAGGGGCCATACTTCCGTTCAGGACTCCCCAGTTGCCAGACAGGTCTAAGTGAGTGAGGGGAGTCCCCTGGAACACGCAGTCCTGGAACACCCTTAGCCCGCAGCCTTCTAGAGATAGCCTCCTCAGAGACGCCATATTCCGGAAGTCCACACAACTAGGGGCGTTTGCTGGTGTGGAAGGAGCCGGAAGCGGAAGTGGTACCTGAACCGGAAGCGGCCAGGGGCAAAGAGAGATTTGATTGTGGCTCAGGTCGATGGTAGTGAGGTTATTGGCATCTGCAAAGAGGCCCGCAGGGATGCCCAAGAGCTGGTTATCACTCAGGTTGAGCAGGCGGAGGCTCCTGAGGCATCCGTCAAGGCCTGGGGCCAGGCGCAGCTCAGACAGCATGTTGTGGCTCAAGTCTAGTTCTGCCAGTGCGCCTACGGGCTCTCGCTCTCGCAAGTGCAGTGTGGCCAGGCAGTTCCGGTTGAGGTTCAGGTGGGCCAAGGAGGGCATTTTCTTCAGGAAGCCATCAGGCAGATACTGGAACTGGTTCTGGCTCATGTCTAGGAAGTGAAGAGCCGATAGGTCGCTGGAGGCAAACTCCTCCCAAAGGTTGACAGTAGTAACATTGGTCACGTTGCCATCCACCAGGAGGAACTGGGCCACCATCTCCTGTGGTGAGGAGGTGTTGTACAGGTCCTTGTAGAAGCCCATGTTATTGTCCTGCAGCAGGAGGCTGTGTAATTTGTTGCATTGGGGTAAGAGAGGGAAAAACAACAGCTGGTTGTGAGACAGGTCTAGTGTCTCCAGCTCAAAAGTGGTCTCTTGCCTGGATGCCAGGAACCACTCGAGGCTGTTATAGCTGACATTGAGGACATGCAACTGAGAGAGGCCAAAGTCCACGATACAGGGGAGGTTGTTATAGGCCAGGTTGAGGTGTCTCAGCTCTGTCAAGCCATCAAAAACACCACCTTCTATCTCAAAAATGTAGTTCCTCTGTAAATCCAACTCTCTGAGGTTCTCCAGACCCTCAAAGACGGACTCATCAAGCCTCATGAGGGTGTTCCTGGCCAGGGACACAGCTTCCAGGGAGGAGAGGTTTTGGAGCATGAGGGCTGCCATGTCTTCTGTCAGGGAGTTGCCAGATAGGTCCAGCTTCTGCAGCCCCGGCAGGGTGTGGAGAGCAGCTGCTGTTTCCTTATAGTTCTCTGAGAGGCTGTTGTCAGCCAAGGCCAGGCTGTACAGGTGGCCCAGCTCCTGGAAGGCATGGTAGCCAATACGCACCAGCTGGCAACTGCGCAGGCTGAGGCTCTCCAAGAGAGGGTAAGACTGGAGGGAGTGATTCCACAGGATCCTGAGAGGGTTGGCATCCATGATGAGAGCCTGGGAGTGGGGCAGGAGGCTGGTGGGCACCGAAGCAAGGTTCTGCCCTTGACAGTCAGCAACGACACCCACCTGGGTTCAGAAACACATGGGTCAGCAGAGAGCATGTCTGGAAGGCAGAGGTTTATGTATAGAAACTTTGTTCACTTATTGGACTGTTCCTGCAGCCACTGGGAATGGCTCTAAAGCTTAGATTTTTTTTTCTTTCTTTTTTTGGTCTTTTTGAGAAAGGGTCTTGCTATGCAGTTCAGGCTGGCCTTGAGCTCATTTTGTAGACAAGGCTGGTTGTGGACTCCCAAAGATCCTCCTGCCTCAGCCTCCCGAGTGCTGGGATTACAGACATGTACCACCATTCCTGGCTTGGAACTCCTAAAATAATATATGACACCAGGCATAGGTTCACACACCTGTAACCCCAGCACTTCGAAGGCTGAGGCAGGAGGATGAGTTCAAGTTCAGTCTGGGATACCTACTGAGATCCTGTCTCAAAATCTCCAATAAATAAATTATAAAACAGGGTAGGAAAATGTTCTTTACCTTCACACTTTGGAAAAATAGCTAACAGAGTTCTAGGCCTCACCTTAAACAGGGTGCTAAAAAAAGATATGAGATCCTGTTCATCAGGCAAGAGTGGTGACAATTATAAGCTGCAGATTGGTTGTAACTATAAGGATTCTGGACCAGATCTCTACTGGGATTTGAACTTCACTTCTGCCATTTATTTCCTGTGTGATCTTAGGAAAATAATTATGCCTAGGCTTGTTATTTTCTCAGAAAACAATATGGATAAAAACATTACCAACTTTGAAGATTATTGTAGGATGAAAGTGGCCGTTCAAGAAGAGCTCAGCATGGTGCCCAGCACACAGTTGGCACTTAGTATATGGCTTCTATTGCATTGTCATCAATGAGACATAACATCTGTGTATCTGACAGAACCACTGTCAAACAACTGGCAACAACACTGTGACAGCTTCATTTTTCCTAGGATGCTTGCTTTTTTTTTTTTTTTTTTGGTCTTTTTGAGATATGACTTCACTATATAGACCAGGCTGGCCTCAAACTGGAGAGATACTCCTCCTTCAGTCTCTCAAGTGCTGGGCTATAGGTGCATGCCACCACTCCCAGCAGGAAACAGGTTTTAAATGGTAAAGTAGAAGACCAATGTCATTCTTTTATGTAGGCTGGCCAGTAAGATAGGCTCCATGATGGCCTGAAATTGTGGGTCCCTGGGGGCTAGTGGAATGGGGAAAAAAGTACTGAGGCAGAGGAAGCAGCCCCGGTTGGGGCGCTGGTCAGTTGTGCCACTTACTAGCTTTGGACCCTGGGCAAGAGCTCTCCTTTGGAGCCTCAAGTTGATTTTTAAAACAAAACCTTCTACTAATTAAAAATTGATGGTGCATTGAAATATAGAAAACTAAGGTCTGGGATATGGCTCAGCAGCACATTTGTAGGGGAACTTGTTTGTTCCCCAACTTGTTTGAGATGTCCTAAGTTTGGTTCTTGGTCAAACAAAACAAAACAACAATAGTAAACAGTCCTGAAATATAGGAAACTAAACTCTTAAGTGATCTCAGCCTCTCAGAGAAATGCCTCAACTTTTTGTTATTATCTCCTTCCAGTTCTTTTCTTTTTTTTTTTTTTCCATTATTTTATTGAGAAACAAATAGCAATGAGACAGTTTCAAACCAAATTGGTAGGACAGTTTCAATAATTAACACATTGCATACATTCTTCCTAGTGGTTAAT